CGACTAGAATGAGTGGCTGGACCTCGCGAACTGAGGGTGGAAAGTGCGAGCGAGAGAGTGGAACAACGTGGAACAAAGTGGGCCTCCGCGCGTGAAGTAAAAAGTGCCGTCTCGATAGTGCCAGCCGTCAGAGCGGGGTGGGCGACGGTGCCAGGCTCAAAGAGGGAGGGGATGGGGGGAGACGGAGAGGGCGAGGGAGAAAGGTGGAGGGAGATGGAGAGGGAGAAAGGCGGAGAGAGAGAGAGAGAGAGAGAGAGAGAGAGAGAGAGAGAGAGAGAGAGAGAGAGAGAGAGAGAGAGAGAGGGAGGGAGAGAGGGAGAGATAGAGAGAGAGGCCTCGTTAAGGTAACAAGTGGGCAGGAATGTGGCACCCCCATCAGGAGCGGAGTGACACAGAGGCACAACAACCTGGACCTGTCGCGCGCTAATTGTCGCGGACACAAGCGAAAAGGGAAATGTGACCCCCCCCCCCCTCCCCCCTTGAAACGTATCACAGGCGTCGAGAAATGTGGGGCGCTGCGTCCGTAATTGACTCGGCGGCGGGATGGGCTCAGCCGCTCGAAGAGGGGGGGGGGAGGAGGTGGGAGGGGTAGGGAGGGAGGGAAGGGGAGAAGGAAAGTGGTGGGAAGGAGGGAAGTGAGGGAGTAGGTAGGGGAGAAGGGAGGAAAGGGGGGGGGGCGTCCAGATCAAAAGGACGCTGTAGGACGCCATCGGCCACGCTCCCAGAACTCCCGCAGGATCTGGTGGCTGTAGGATTGATAGTGTGTTGGCGGCGTCCGTCCGTAAATAAATAAATAAAAACGGGTATTACCGTGAATCACGTACATCTTTTTCTCTTCGCTGTTGGCAGTCGTAAATGTGTTATCTGTAAATAAAAACGTTTGTCCAATTTGTTTCTCTCTCTCTCTCACTCTCTCTCTCTCTCTCTCTCTCTCTCTCTCTCTCTCTCTCTCTCTCTCTCTCTCTCTCTCTCTCTCTCTCGCCTTCTCCCCACTCCCCCTCCCCCTCTCTCTCTCTCCTCCCCCCCTCTGTCTCTCTCTCTCTTTGCAGAACAATTACAACATCCCTGCAACTCTAACCTCAATGACCTCCTTTGACCTCAGTCCATCTCTCGGAATTACCCTTTCAGTTCACGTGTTCCCTTTTTCCCTTCCACTTCTCTGTGAGTTTTGTTTCCTCTTTTCATTCTCTTTTTATTCGCCCTTCGTCCTTTTTGGGGGCAATTTATGGAAGCGCTTAATAGGGTACTTTTTTTTTGAGAGAGAGAGAGAGAGAGAGAGAGAGAGAGAGAGAGAGAGAGAGAGAGAGAGAGAGAGAGAGAGAGAGAGAGAGAGAGAGAGAGAGAGAGAGAGAGGATGGAGAGAGGGGATATCAGTCAGATACTTTTGTGTCGTCTTCTGTATTTTTTTTTTAATCTTATCTTTGTTTTACTTTTGTTTGTCGGTTTATTTCTTTTTTTATATTCCTTTCTTTTATTCTTTGTTATTTCTTTTACGTTCTCTCTCTCTCTCTCTCTCTCTCTCTCTCTCTCTCTCTCTCTCTCTCTCTCTCTCTCTCTCTCTCTCTCTCTCTCTCTCCCTCTCTCCCTCTCTCCCTCTCTCTCTCTCTCTCTCTCTCTCTCTCTCTCTCTCTCTCTCTCTCTCTCTCGCTCTCCCTCACTGACTCACTCTTTCTCGTTACATCTTTGTCGCTTCCTGTATTTGCCATGCACTCCTTTCTCTAATTGGCGGAGACATGAAGGCTTATTCATGATCCTCATTCGCTGCATGAGGAGTTCTGGACCCCCCCCCCTTCCCCTCCCTCCATGTTTCAACCGCACTCCCCTCCCTCCTACTTTGTCTTCATCCACGATCTTCTCTCTTCTCTTTTTTTCGCTTTTTTTCGTTCTCTTCCCTATTTCATATTCTTTATTCCATACTCCCGCTGTTTCTCCTATTCTCCTATTTATCTCACCTTTCTTCACCCCCCCCCCTTCCTCGCTACACGTTCCCCACCTTTTCTAACCCACACTTAACCCCCTACTCCCCCCACCCCCATTACCCATAAACTCTCCCCCCCCTCACCTTCCCTCTCCCACTCTTTGTCCCCTTCTCACCCACACTCCCTCCCTCCCTCTCTCCTTCCCTCCCTCACCCACACTCCCTCCCTCCCTCTCTCCTTCCCTCCCTCACCCACACTCCCTCCCTCCCTCTCTCCTTCCCTCCCTCACCCACACTCCCTCCTTCCCTCTCTCCTTCCCTCCCTCACCCACACTCCCTCCCTTCCTCCCTCCCTCCTCCTCCTCCTCCTCCTCCTCCTCCTCCTCCCCCCCCCCTCACCCACACTCCCTCCTTCCTTCCCCCATCACCCACACTCCCTCCCTCCCCCCCATCACCCACACTCCCTCCCTCCCTCCCTCCCCCCCATCACCCACACTCCCTCCTTCCCTCCTGCCTTCACCCACGCCCCGCCCTCCTAATGACAGCCGGGTCGTGACACCCTTGGCGAGGCGAGGCGGTCACTCGTCTTCTCACGCCATGCATTTTTCGCCGCTCCCTACCCCTCCCCCCCCTCCCCTCCCGCTGTTGCACGTTGTTGTCGTTGTCGCCAAGTGCCTGTTTTTTTTATTTGTTTTTATTTATTATTATTATTAACTTTTTTATTATATATATATATTTCGTTTTGTTTTGTGTGTGTGTTTTTTTTTTTTTTTTCATTTAAGGGCTTTTGGTGTGTGTGTGTGTGGGGGGGGACTTTTCTTTAGTGTGCGGTTTGCTAAGGTGAAGCAGGAAGGGAAATTATTAATGTTGTTTTGTTAGTGTTTTTGTTGTTATTGTAATAATGATTCTTGTTGTTGTTATTATTATTATTATTATTATCATTATTATTATTATTATCATTATTATTATTATTATTATTATCATTATTATTATTATTATTATTATCATTATTATTATTATTATTTTATGTAGAACAGTGCTTAAGGAGAAAAAAGGACAGTAGTGAAGAAGACACGAAATGCCACAGCGACTATCACGAATATCTTCCTATTTTTTAGAAGGACTTGAGTGTCTTTCACAAGTATGCACGAGAACAGACTTTCGGACTCTCGGAAAAGTAACGCGGAGACGATCGTCCGAGAATGCATGCAAGGGAGGTGTCTGTCCCCTCGTATTTTGTGACCGCGTGGGGAGGGGGGGGGGAGGAGAAGGAAGGGGAAGGGAAAGGGGGGAGGGGAAGGGAAAGGGGAGGGGAAGGGGAAGGGGGAGGGAGGGAAAGGAGGGGGGGAGGTGGATTTTAGAAGGACGCGGCAATTTGGCATTATGAATTTATGAAATAATGCCCAGTAGTCAGGCAAGCGTGGGGCTGCGGATGAGGGGGTGGGGGTGGGAGGTAAGGGGTGGGGGGCTGAAGGGTTGAAGTGGTGAAAGGATTGAAAAGGGAAAGGAAGGAAAGGTGGAGAAAGGATTGGAGAGGGGTGTTGGGGAAGAAGCGGAGAGAGAGAGAGAGATGATTGGAAGGGAAGGAGAGGAAAGGGGAGGGAATGCAAAGCTAGAGAAAGGATTGGAAAGGGAGGGGAGGGGAGAAGGGGAGGGGACAGGGAGCCTCTGGACGAAGCTAAGTCAACCGCGAGTCGATTCCTGGCGGCGGCGTCACCCTGTTAAGCGCTTCGGCATCGAGCGTCGTCGTGGGTGCGTGCTCACGCCTCGCGACCCAGGGCAGAGCGGGTTAGAAAGTGTGATTCTGTTAGCGCGTGTCCTTCCTTTCCCTCTCCTCCGTTTATCCTCGTTTCTCTTCTTCCTCTTCTTCTTTTTCCCCTCTGTACGAGACAAGTCTTCTCCCCTCCCTCCTCCCTCTTTATTCGTGTACCTCTTCTTCATCTCCTTTTATATCGCCCCACTTTCCTCTCCTCCCCTCTTCATCTTCATTCCTTCCTCTTCTTCCTCCTTTTCTCCATTTGTTTGACCCCTTCTGCGGGAGTCTAGATTCCCCAGAGGCGCGTTCTTAGTCGTCGCAGCCTCCGCCGGGAGCATTATGAAATAACACTCGGCGGAGGGACGCGAGGTGATAAAAGCTGCAACTGACATTTATGTAATCAGGGAGACCCGCGAGGGATACGCTTATGTGTAAATACTATCCTGAGGGCTTGGAGATCTCTCTGTGTTTCTCTGTATGTATATAAATAGATAGACAAACCAGAATATGTATACAGTATATATGTGTGCGCACACGCCTTTCTCCATTGTTCGCTCCGTGTGCCTGAGAGCCGACAAGGCCTCGCTGTCGACCGGTGTTAGGGTGATTTTAGATGACTAATCACCCAGCGAGCGATGGGCGCCCCGATCCCTCTCCGACGGCGCAGCGGAAGGTGGGTCTTCGGTGGGAGATCGATCAGCCAGAAGCCCTCGTTAGGGTCAACAGTAGTTGTCCGGTCACACTCATGTTGCAGCGGTCAGCACGGCCCGACACGCATGGGGGAGTCACTCGGAAGCTGTTAACGTTGAGAAAGAGAGAGGGGGTGAAGGAGAGAGGGGGGGGGGAGAAAGAGAAATGAGAGATGAGAGAGCGGTGCACAGGCCAAGTCATTTCTTTCATGGAGGGAAATCTCCTTATGCGGAAGTGTTCTGGATGAACTCGAGCCGAGTGGTGGAGGCTCGGGAGGAGAAAGATGTTTTTGTTTTTTAAGTATCTGTTTGATTAAATTTTCATGTTTGCAAGATTTCGTAAAGAAACGTTGAATAAAGAAAGGAAGTTAGTGTATTTTTGAAGGGCAGTGAATGAGGCAGACTGCCAGTGCTTATGCTTATGCTTATAGGGGATCGGTTGGATGTAGATGTGTTCTGAACCACATTGCATATTGCACAAACACAATATAAACACCTACATTTGGCATTCTGTATCAGCGCTTACATTGGAATCTGTTTGGTAAACAAATAGTCTCCTTGTCCCTTTTTTTTTTTTGTTATTAATATTCTCATTATGAAAACAACTTTCTATAGTGATGCTTATTCTCCCTTCCAGGCGACCTCGTGGACAGCACAAGCGCTCTATCAAATCCTCTGCTCGTGACGACCGCCGGCGGCCTCATGGTGACCAACCCGGCTCTATTCACACACACCATGCTGAGTGCGGCGCCCACCCTCCTGCTCGGCAACTCCCCCGTCCTGGGGTATGCTTCTTCTCGTTTCATGCATGGTCTTAGGTCCTCTTCTTGGGCCCTGAAGGGTCTCGGATGTCGGGGGGATGTTGCAGATACTTATTTTAGGGTCATGATGATTAGTTGTCTTAGAAATGGTGAATATTTTGTGAAAGGGTAGTTTTATGCGTAGAGTTATGGTATACAAGCTTCAGTTCGTGACGAATCAGCGTCTCCTCCAAGATTGCTAAGTGTCCTCGTTTGCAGCAGCGACTGGATGGGTCGCCTCAAGGAGCTCCAGGAACGGGGAGGCCTTGCAGCCGCCGCAGCAGCAGCAGCAGCAGCGAGCTCAGGCAGTGACATAGAAAGTGGAGATCTTGACAACTCGCGGCAATACACGTCACGCAATACAGGCCAGCCCGTCGCCATGGACCTGTGCGTTGTGTGTGGCGACCGAGCATCAGGTACGAGTGGCAACAGCCCGTGGAGGAGGTAGCGGTGGGAATGATTAATAATGGGATATATGAGTTAGTTTAGGTATTTTTGAACCGTTTTATAGGCGGATTCAGATTATTTTTATAAGTTATGTTTTTCTTTTTTACCCATTTACTTTTGATATATAATGACTAATTTTTAAGTAAGGATTGAAGTTGTTAGACGTTAAAACTTAACAGGAAGAAATAACAGAAATATGCTTTTTCTATTCCATGATATTAATAATAGCCTTATAAAGTAGAAAAGTATTGTTGATTTCGAGATAGATTTCCTTGCCGAACTTCTTAGTAAGTAATCCCAATTAAGAATATCCAGTAGAAGGAACTCCTCATGCATATGATTCACCCACATCAACCCTTCTTTTTATCAAACCGAATCCGAAGTAACCCCCCCCTTCCTTCGACCAGGGCGGCACTACGGTGCAATCAGCTGTGAAGGTTGCAAAGGCTTCTTCAAGCGGTCAATTCGCAAACAGCTCGGTTACACCTGCCGCGGGAACAAGACGTGCGAGGTCACTAAGCACCATCGCAACAGGTGTCAATACTGCCGGCTGCAAAAATGTCTGGCGATGGGCATGCGCAGCGACTGTAAGAACGATACTAAGGATTTGTACAAAAGTTTGTGGTGTTTTGTCTTTTGTTTTCTTAGTCTTAGGCACCCTAATATTAAGATGGTGGCCAGAGCAGGGGGATCAAGCTAGGTCCTCGACATATTACGAGTGCTGTTCAGTGGAAGAGTGAATACTGCTTCCTTTTGTATTATTTTTTTCTCTCATTATCTTTAAAAAAAAAACAGTTTAGCTGGACTTAATTTGCTTCTGTCGCGTCTTAATGACAAAGTAACATACATACGTGTTTGCTTTCTGTTTGTTTGTCTCTTGTTGACAGTCCGTTTTTTTAACAATTTAACCATAAATGTAATCTTGTCTTGTTCTGGATATTAACCAAATAACAAGCTTCATCAGAATGTATAAAGATGTAAAATAAGGCTTTAAATATTTGGATTGCAAACTATTAAAGGGAGTCAGCGCCTTTATACTGGCTTAGTTACCATGTGCCTACCAATGCACCATTCTTATTATTATCATCATTATTATTGTTAATGTTATTATTATTTTTGATTATTTATTTAAGCTTGTACTCTTCAATGTGTATGATTGAGACAGCAGATAATAATAGATACATTTTTATTTAGAGTAATTCATGTAGATTGGTGACTGTACTTTGATATACACAGACAAGTATATATCAACACTAGTAGTGTAAGCATATAATTATAAGTGCTTAACACCTTGTACTATAGAAACCAGCCTTTACTGAAGCCACCTCACAGCAAAACTTTATAAGTAGACATTAGAACATCCTACATTGTTGCCCTATAGAAATTACCCACAATATCCTCATATAAACGCCCATCCTGTATCCCTCCCCCTGTACTGGCCGCCACACCCCTGTGAGCGCACACGCCTCTGTGCATGATGCGGAGATGCTACAGCCACACTGGAACCTTGGCCACTGATGCCACTTGACCTCTGACCCAACAGGACTGGTACCCTCATGACAAAGCTTTCCTATGCAAAAATATAGCCTCATGTATTGGTGGTAAGTGCAAGCCTAATTGGTGGAGAATCCAGACCCCTCAGGAGGCATTTCAGTTCAGGAGTAATCACGCCCAGTCTAAAAGATTTTGTTTCATTTGCAAGGATATACACTAACTGTTATCTGAGATGCAGCAGTTATCTTTCAGATGCACTTCTTGCATACCTATTCCACCCAGAAGCACAAAGATTTGTTTTTCTTTTTTTAATAATAAGAGAACTTTTAGGATAATAGGAACTTCATATAGGGACTTCATATGGTAATTGTAGCTAAAGGATATGTCTTAAACTTATCAATAATCAAGGACTTATATAATAATCTGTTCTCAGAATGGATTCTTTTTTGTAAAATATTTTTTTAAATTCCCTTTTATGTTGTAGGGTAACAAGTTAGAGATTAAAAATTTCAAATTTGACTTTCAATAAAACAAGTTGGTTTAATTACCAGTTTAAGTAGGTGAGCTTTATTATAAATTACTCCAGTTTCTTTTTGCTAAAATAACTATTGCACAATAATGGGTGACACTATGGTCAGGTTACTGGTGGTTTGGCGGCATGAGCATAAAGCATGAATGACCGATTGTTGAGACATTTGGGTAACCATGCAAAAGGTCAGCTATGATCAAGGTCAGATGGGTCAGCATGTCATGACTCGGAAGCATTCATACCCTCGCCTCTGCCTCGTGCAAAGCTGCGTGTCGCTACTCAGGCGGTGACCAAGGAGGTTGTCGTGACTTGGGCCTCTGAGGGAGGCAATAATTCAGTGGTACATGAGGAAGTCGGTCTAAGAGTTTAGTCTCTGACTTTATGATACTACTGGTTATAGCTTCCAAGGGGTACTGAGCACAAGGATCTCTTCCCTGTTCCACTGCACACTGTAGCCTTCCTTCAAAATGATATGCCCTCCTTTGCTCGTTCATATTGTTGCCATGTTGCATTACTTTTGGCATGGCATGCACCTTAAGGCCCCTTGCAGGAATGAATCATATTAATTAAAATGGCAGTCATTTGGGATGGAAGTACTGCAGCAGTGTAGTTAAATGCATGAGACATCAGTGCCATTCACACACAGCAAAAGGTGATCAAACTACATTTCACCTTTTGCTACAGTGTGAAAATGATGTCTCATGTAAGGGACAGGTTCAACTCTGAGCAACACTACCCATCATGGTGCACATTGGTGTCTGGCTTCATAAAACTGTACATTTCACCAACAGAAGTGTCCTGTCTTGATACTTACACTCATTGTTCATGGGGAGACTGATGGGTTTGTGTTTGGCAGAGGTTGTAACAATGATCTTTCTTTCACATCTGAAAACAACAAGATTAAGTTCTCGGTAAAGAGTGGAAAAAGCTAGTCAGAACATAAAGGAAGGTTTTCCAATTTCTGTTGGTCATTGAATCTTGATGAATGGGAAAATGGTGGTTCGTTTGCCCCGGTGCCATTGGTGGGTGGTATTTTCCCCTACTCTTCTTACTTTCTCTCATCACACCCACTTTCTCCTGTTTTATATCAAGCAGAAGAGGTATCATTGCCCTCAGCACCTTTCTTATTCTTGGATAATGGCACCAGCATTCTCAGGTCCTGGGACTGATTCAAAAAAGAACAAAAAAAGTACATCAACAAAGCACATTCAGCATTTTGGGAAATATGCATATGAGAATGTCACAAACTCAGGGCAAAATTTGGGAGATCACCGACTGCACACACGCGTTGGTATTATCACAAAATTGGCCGTTGTGTTTAGTTCATATGTATCTTCATAATCTCTTTATGCACAAAAGTTTCATTTCTGTGCACAGTCAAATATCATGACCTGCAGGTCATTTCTTGAGCTAGAGTCTTGGGTTATCCTTTTTTTCATTTCAAATAATCTTAAAATTATATGTTTAAATATTAATCTGTGGACTTCAATTTAAAATTTTCAAGAGGAGCAAAATTGAGCTTAATTACAAATCTATTGTCATACTGTTGTTCTCTGATGTGATAAGAATTTCATTGATGATAATGTAAGGATCATATAATTGTAGGTTATGAATACACAAGTTTAATGGAAAGTAGAGAACTGTACATGGCTATTGTGTATGAGTCAATGTTTCAGCACTGTGTAGTTGCAAAAAAATAAGTAAAGTAGTTTGTTATTTTTTGTTCTGAACTTTGTGTATAGTAAAACATGTCACTATCTTTTTAAAACAGTATACAAATAAGAAGTGTTGAATCCAAAATAGAAAATAGTGATGAATCAAAAATCAGGATGTAAGCAGTTTATTATCTCAAGAAGAAATTTAGTTTACTCTAAAGGCTTTGGTAAACAAACAGATAAAATATAACTAACAATATTATTTTCCTCCACCTTTCTCCTTGGACATCCTTAGCTGTCCAATCGGAGCGAAAGCCAAACAGCTTCTTGGGTAGCAGTGATCGCCGGGAAAAAGAAGGAAGCCCACCCATATCAGTTAATCCTCTTGCTGGGCTAGAGTCACCCACATTAGCTTCCAGCAAGACCCCAGTCGTAGGGAAGGACATTCCCTCCCAACCCCCAACTAGCCTTGCCGAACTTCACCAACAGATGGCAAAGGCTTTCGAGGGAGCCTTCAGTAGAGACGCCAAAGAAGCAGGTACTACTGGTGTGTCTGAGATTATATTTGATTCCTTGTCACCAGGTGACTGCTGTATATGTTATTGTGATTTCAGTGCCCTCGCCTGGTGTTGAGTGGAAGGGTTGAAATCACACTGTGACACTGCTTTATTGCATTAAAGGGAAATGCTAGAGATGAAACTTTTTATTTGGT